TTATTCAACTCATCCGTAATTCGATCCATCGTTTATCCTGGAAAGCTATTCGTGGTAAATAAATGCAGCTTATACGGCTTTCTCCTGCCAAGACCTCGTTCCAAAAACTGAAGAGATTTACAACGCTGCTCTCTAAACATACTATAGTCTTTTATTGGCATAATCTACTAATTTATTCAACACCATTAGAGACACTAACGATGTTTCTTTGCTGAAAATCTTCGTCTAGCCAAGTCACAAATAGATATAATCTACTGGAGTCTTACATTATCATACATAATCTGGCTGGCATATTACTGGGCTACTGGCATACTATACTCTTTTCTTCTATGGACTAAGCAGTTGCCACGTGAAACTTGGCAAAATAAAGTTTTTATAGTAAACAAATAATAATATTATGCTAATCTTACAACACACAGTAGCAAGCGTTCATCCGGATAATAGTAGCGCTGAATTTTCCTATGTATTTCGTAGCATACTCGTGTAATATTATCGGTACTATGAGCCATGTTGATTTATTTATTTATTCACACAGGAGTACACGTTACAATAAAAAAAAAGAGACGTGAAATAAAATAGCAAGGCTTCCAGGTGAATGCCCATATAAGCTAAAAAAGCTTCACAGGCAAAACAGCAGGTACAAAACTCAATTCCAATGATAACAAGACGACGATTAGAACAAATAAGTAACAAATTTTTACAATGGTAATGACCATGGTAATGACCATATGTTCTCTTGTAATGACCGATGATTTGCTTTAATCGAACTAGCTACTGACCGCCGATTATTATAATGGTAACGAATTCTGTGCAAATGCGAGTGACCGATAACTGGCTATAGTCTAGCCACTTAATATCCTGCAAGTAACGTCGAATGTGTTTCTGTGAGTGACCGATAATTTACCGTAGTATAGCCTCAGCCAATAATTATCAGATCCTTCTAGCCTAAGATCCCGCGAGTAAAGGCGACTGAATTACTGAGAGTAACCGATATGTAGCTTGCATCAGCTACTCAAGATTCTGTGGGTAACGGAAAATGTATTACTGCGAGTAACTAATATCTGGCCTACGTCAACCACACAATCCTGCCAGTAACGAAAACTGTTACTGGGTGCAACCCATATAATTGGCTCTCATCTAGCCACGATTGACCCTAAGCAACACCAACTGTGTTGATTTTTTGACTGAAAATTTGCTGTAGCGAACGTGTAGACTGAGATAAAGTGAACGTGTTGACTGATCCATCGAATGTGTTGACTGTGATCCAGCGAACGTGTCGACTGTGATCCAGCGAACGTGTTGACTGTGATCCAGCGAACGTGTCGACTGTGATCCAGCGAACGTGTTGACTGTGATCCAGCGAACGCGTTGACTGTGATCCATCGAACGTGCTGACTGTGATCCATCGAACGTGTTGACTGTGATCCAAGTTGAGTGGTTGAGCAAGATCCCGGACTGTCCAGTTATGGGAAACTACCATCAGCAAGCGACAAGCAACAGCATCTTGCATCAGCGTGCCCAAATGAGGGCTAATAGACGGAACACGTCCAACGTTACATCCGACGACGACTCGGAGACGGAGGACGACGAAGGCGGCGCATCAGCGTGACCGTGGACTGCGACGTCCTAAACTCATCATAAGGTAAGGTCATAAGGTGTTGACTGTGATCCATCGAACGTGTTGACTGTGATCCATCGAACGTGTTGACTGTGATCCATCGAACGTGTTGACTGTGATCCATCGAACGTGTTGACTGTGATCCATCGAACATGTCGGCTGTGCTCTACAGCGAACATGTTGACTGTGCTGTACAGCGAACATGTTGACTGCGCTGTACAGCGAACTTGTTGACTGTGCTGTACAGCGAACATGTTACTGCGCTGTACAGCGAACTTGTTGACTGCGCTGTACAGCGAACATGTTGACTGTGCTGTACAGCGAACATGCGTTGACTGTGCTTTACATCGAACGTGTTGACTCTTCTGTACAGCAGGCGATCGTGACAGTGTCGCGGGTTTACAGTGCAGCGCGCATTACCAGCGAAGTTGTCGCACTTTGCAACGACGTCCAAAAATACTTCACTTGCTGCGTCGTGAGGATGAACGTCAAGACGCCCTTACGCGGGTCAGGTGTCAAGGTTGAGTGTCGACCAGTGTTTGATGATATTAGGAATAATTATTGAACGATGTGACCACCAGACTTGAGGCAAAAATTGTCCTTTAATAATAGCCGTTGTCGTGTCTCTAAGTAAATTGGGTAATTGTAAATAATGCTTGCAAAGTACCACATTCAGGGTTTTAGGTGGCACCAGAATTAATGATTTATATGAAGGAGATATGATCGAAGATTGATTGTGCTACACCATTAAGCTGTAATTTTAAATACGTTTATGATTGAAGAAATGCAAGCATGGCGTTGACTGTAAAATGTGTTGTATTGTATATTGTAATCATTGTATCCTAATTATTTTCATTGCATTTTTACATATGCATTGAAATGTGTTGTATTGCATATGCTAATCATTGTATTCTAATTGTTTTCATTGCATTTTTACATATGCATTTAATATGTTCAAATGCCTAAAGTAACGGTAAGCCGTTCAGTGTGAACTCACACGAGTCATGCATGGTCGTCAGTAGTCGCTGCAGGAGCTAAAGTTTGATAAGCTGGTCAAGAAAGTTATAACCTATGTAGGTCGACTAATAATTCTAGCGAGACATGAAGCTTGGGAATTGAAGAATTTGATGTCATTTTATCGTAAAGAAATATTCATTTAATTATGCTAGTAGTCGGATAAAAATCTTCCGTTTGCGAAGAATTTCACATAGGAAAAATACTCGAGACTCCATCTGAAATGCTTTGGTTTCATCTATCAAATAGTAATAGTATTCGGAATTATTGTGATAGTGGCAATACTACTTCTTGAATAGTACCAAATCTATACTGAAAATATTGATTACTTTACATAGGGAACAGTAGTTGTGATAAGTTCTGGGAATGCGTGGACTTGCAAGTGACATTTTAGATTCAAATCCACTGACCCCTGCCGATGTTTAGATTTAAGCAAGTCACCCTTGCGACCTCAACACAAGCACACCTCTGACCGATAGAGCATTTACATAATCTCTACGTGCTTCTGTATTTATTATCAGCGTTGGAATTGTCAAAACAAAGACAACTTGGTCCAGCAGTGCAAACTCCTTTCACTTTTTGGCGTCGAGAGGCCAGCACGAGTTCGCTAATGACGTTCTTGCGGACGGTTTCGGTCACTTGCTGTTAACGTGACTCGTTAAGTGCTCTGCTATTCTACCATTAGCGGTCTTCATGCAGGTGATTATTGTTCGCAGTTATTTGGGACTTTGTAGCTTTATTTTCAACTATTTAGCTATAAAATTTTGAGATTAATTTCCGGTTTTCAGTAGTACAGGACCAGTTTAAGCATTTGTCCCTACCCTACGAAAATCATAAACTAATTGGACACGTACGTAGAGGAAGGAATACATTTTTTTCGATGTAAGTAAATTTACTCCCAATTTAACTTGGGACTTATTTAACGTAATATAAACTGTTGTCTCATAAATTCAGAACTAATTTTTTTTCGCTCCAGTAAGTGAGAACTGTAATTTTTCCCCCCCCGTCATCAGCTCATTAAAAACACCAACTGTATAACTCTCTCACTCTATTATGTTCTTATTCCGATACGGGACCAATATTTCTCCCTTCATTGCAGTCTCTCCACCCTGTCCACTTCACTCTACATCATCGCTCTCTCTCTCACTCACCGTTTTTTCACATTTCCGTCCACACCTCCTCATCATCTCTCATTTTTTCACCACCTATCCACTCCCGCTACTTCTCCCACTCACACCAATAAATTTTTCTCACTAATCTATTCCTCTCTCGAGCGCTCACTATTTTCCCTCTATCAACACTTTCGCTTATATATAAGCAAGTGCTCTCCCGCTGTCTACTCTCCCAAACTCCGCTCTTGGCTCCCGATCTCTTTTATTCTTCTCTCTCCTCTTCCACCCTCACCGCTCTCCTTCTCATTCCGTTCTATTTCTTTCTCTTTAAAACCTCATTGTCCTCATCCTTCCCTCCAAATCTCCAACCCTCTCCCCGCCTCTCCACATCTCCATCCCTCTCCCCGCCTCTCCACGTCTCCAACCCTCTCCCCGCCTCTCCACATCATCCCTCTCCCCGCCTCTCCACAAGCACCGCGCTCACCACCACAAGTGCCGCCGACGCTCGGAGCGCTCGAGAGAAAGGGAAGCGTGTGAGGGCTCGAGTGATGTGGGTCAACCAGTTACTCTTGTGGCGGTGTCGGCAGAACATGTGTGAGGGCAAACGCTCTTGCCTGATCCAGATCAGCTGTGCGCCAGTCCTTCGTTTATCTCAGCGAAATTCAGAGATCCGATGCTCACGCGGTTCAAAATAGAGTTTGAGACTAAGCTTGGAAATTTTCTATTGATCAATTTAACTGGCTACCATTTTTTAGACAATTTTTAAATCGATATATTAAAGGCTGGTCGATAAATGATTTACTGTGACACAAATGGACTTGTAAATTTCTATATATTTGTTCATATTTCACCCAGCTGCTCTATACGCAAACTTTGCTAAGTGGAAATTGCTTCCTTATAATAAATAAATGATTTAAATTAAAAACTCAGTGTTGCCGGATATTGCATAATTATAAATAATGGGTAAACCGTTCCGAGATCTGAGACAGAGCTTAGAAATAATGCACGATAAAGACACTGTGCTTTTACATTCTAATCATGAATGTTTTATTTAAAAACTGTTTAGTTTAGGTTAATCTAATACAGAGGAAGCAAAGAAAATTCTAACCAGCAATATTTGCTTGGGATATTTTATTGATTAGGTAAAATACACTATGTTCACCTTTCATCAGATTACAATCTCCTTGTTGCTGTGTAGACAAACTTTCTTTGAATTTAGTTTGCGTTATGATCTTTATTGCCTTTCTCAATTTCAGAAATCTCATGGAACAGAAAAAAATCCAGCAAAAATGAAGAACGCCTGTGATTGTTTAGGAATATAATTTTTCAACTCTGTACATATAGTTGTCCATGTATAGAGTTTCAATCAAACTTTTCAGTACACATTATAGGTTTCAAAAACGCTTCAGATATATATGACATTTCTTCTATCTATTTTCACAACGTGCTCAAATCACCAATATTTCAAACTTTAGCTAAATTATGATCGAACTCACGTGGTTTTTAGAACAAACTTCCATTCATCTCAATTAACCGCTCTTATATTCAAAGTATAGTCGACAAACGAAAGGATTTCAAATCGTTGGACGAAGGACAGTAAACGTAGCATGACAAGTTTTGTCATCTTCGTGCAGTACGAAATCTGAAGTTGACCTCGGCTGTCCCTTACCCGACCACACTGACCGCTCAGACTTACTCTGCTCCCTTCCCTAATTGACCTTGAACACCCCGCTAACTTGAACTATCTTGTCATTCCTGTCTTGCTTCTGTATTTATTTATATATTCTTCAAATTTTTGGTAATTTGAGGCTGATTCTACACATTGGACTTTCACGATTTGTGGACTTGTATTAATCTCGTACTACCACTCGCGAAACGAGCATATCTTCGCGAAAAAATTTATAGAAGGAGAAAACGTCGTTCGGTGAAGGAATATCAGGCCGTTAAGTGGAGTATCTAAGTTTTGGGAATCTGCAATTTGGTTTTATGATATTGAAAAGCCATAATAGCCGCTTGGTTATCTGAAATTTTGAACTCCGCAACCATTGCAAAAGTAAAAACTTGTGCTCAGAAATTATCATCGGGGCTATGGATTTCATCGGCGGCTGTGTGTGATTTATTTTTTTCCGTACGTGATTGGCCATGTTCGTTTATTTTGGCCGGTGTGAATAACGTCTGAGACCTCACGGAGAAATTATCAATAAAGTTGTTATTTGAAAGTAACTTGGGCAACGCCAGCGTAAAAACTTGCCGATCCCCGCACTTCAGCTCCTATCGGTTGGGTCCTTCAGTATAAGGTAAGTCGTTCATATCAAAAGAGCCTCATTTATCTATGACTTATGTGTGATTATATTTTTATTTTCTAATTCACAAAAATCAGCAAAGAATCGTTTAAGTAATTGAGACTAATCTTCAAGCAAAAGTAAATATAGCTTGATATAATATTCACATGAAAACAATAATTTATAACTATATATGTATATATTGAAGGTATTGCTGCAATTTAAATTTTCTTGTGGTTATTCGCTACAAATGTAGTGGTCGAAAATAATTTACCTCGCCAGAGATACTGTAATTAGATCAAAATAAAACATTTAATGCTGCAGTTTAAGTACATGTAACACCTGAGCAAAGTTCGAGACCAGCTAGTTAATATGTTAACGTCTCTTTCACCTGGAAATTCCATTCATTCATTGTTTGATTTAATTCTTAACTATGCCCAAGCCTGGCACTTCCAAGGCGAGCTGGTTAGCTCCCGTTCAAGGTAGAAAAATTAGTTAAATCACAAGGATTCTTCACATAGGGCGGTGGAATAATGTTGTTTTTTTAAGTGCAGTATTAACTTAATCTGAACGAACAATAAAATGTCAAGATATAAGGCTTAAATTTGCTACTAACTATCAATATATTTTGATATTTCGTGTACAGTGCAATAAGTTAAGTTTTTAGGGTAACCTCTAATCCTGCTTCGATAGGAGATCAATATCCGTGATTCACGCTTAGTAGCTTTAAACTGTGACAGTGTAATTATTTCCAGCGCAATGAAAGCTTAAAAAATACAGTAGCCTTATAACGACGCCTGCTGTACATCGTCCTGATTTTCGACTACCAGTGGACGATAAAAACAAGCATGGCAGTTTCAATATCCTTATCGCCGTAGACTTGTTTCTTAACTTTCTAACTTGGTGCATGCATGAATTTGGACTGAATATATTAGACAATTATGAAGGTGTATGGGCATCACGATTTCGTCTTTAATTGATATATATTTAACACGTGTTATTTTTAAACCGGCATGGGACACTAGTGTTTAGTGTTCTTACTACAAAATGACACTGAAATAAGATTATGACTACATTTACTTTGAATGCGTCTTAATAGCAATTATAATAATACTGAGTAACGCATTTTTTTTAAACAATGTTCAGTCCAAGGCCAAATATTTTTAAAACCTTAATAGTGGTGAATATCTGTCATAAATAAATTGTAGAGGTGCGATCATCAGGTTCATTTAAGATGAGAGTATGACTGAGAACAACCATCGTGAGTACCAAATAACTTCTACTTCTTTTTTCTTCATGGAAAGGTCATGACACCTAATAGGCATTCTTTATAGGTGGTTAAATCAAATTTCAAGGGGGCAACTCTACGAGAAGGAAGTGAAAGTGGACTGTCCTGCATTACTGTCCCTTCATTTGCAAAGAAGAAAAGGAGTTCGAACCTATGCCAATCCTTTGGTTATATATTAACTTTCACATCGCTCTCTATGTAAATACATGCACCGAAGAATTCATTTTATTTCCTTTCGCTGGACATTTTGCACACGATATTCTGTGGCCCTGCAACACGTGAAAATTTGAATCGTTGGTTTTATTCTTCGTGCATTTGTTAGCTCAATGCTATGCATGATAATGAGTTTATTTTTTCATTCAATTAAGGGTCTCTAAATAAAAATTCTAAGATCGAAGAACAAAGAGAGTAGATTTAAGTGTTAAACTAAGTCACGATTTATCGATTCGAACGCAAGTATCTAGTGCTGTGTTGGTGCAATACTTTTCAAGTAGTGGTTGTGCAGGACCAGGGAACAATCGAACATCAGTTACGTTAAGGAAATCTCTACTTTAACACCAGTACAAAAAAAAGACTAAAACTCGCACGCTGAATAAAATTTGAATCTTTAATCCTGGTCCCGTGACAAGTAGTTTGTACAATTACGTACCCTCTTTGACCTTAGTTAAACACTGTTCAACTGTAAACTTAGTTCAATACAAGACAATATCGGCGCTTTCGTTACAAGCGATGATCATACGTAGAGTCGTGATAGAGACAGAGACGACAGCGTCGAAGCTGCTCTGCATTACACGATCCTGCTGCAAGGCTAACAACAACAACCTGTTCCTTCAGCACTTCCAGCTATGATGAGCGCACTGCTGGATGACGATGGCCACCAAGCACGCTACGTAGTTCCTCACGTTGACATAGATTCAATGCGTATCTTCATGATAAGGAAAACGAAACACAAGACAAAATAATTCAATAGATTGCATTACTTGCGTGAATGTCATGTACTCGATCAACGGAATGATATTGAGAATTATGAATGATCGTTACTGAATCCAGGCTCACAATTAGAGTTCGATGAGGTATTTTGACACATAATTTTAGTCTGTTAAGGCACTGGAAAAAGAAATTATTGTTCGTTGAGGTATTTTGACGCGCAATCAAACTCACGATGAAAATTTTTATTCATGATTATTCATCCATTTTGCCCCAGCAGATAACTGTTTTCCTTATGATATTTAACACGAACTGCAGCTTAGTGTAAGATATTGGATGGGTTTCGATGAATTGACGCGATTGTATGAGGCTTAGGTTCTTAAATTTGAAGCAATGGTATTTTCTTTTCAATCTTAAACTTCATATAATTCAGAAATCCCGAGGGACTCAGAAATCTCTAATAAAAAAAAACGACTATAGAAATCCTTACGCTCATGTTATTCTGAGATGAGAGATATCTCGATATGTACAGTCATCTAAAAAAGATTATGTTCCTGAAGAATTATCTAGAACTATTAAATTAAACGGGTGACTTATTAATTAAATCGAGAAAGCAAATGATTTTTCAATCACTGGCAAGCACACTACAGGAGTACCGAGTTCACAACCCTGTCCAGAGTTTCTAAAAACTCATCCATCTGGCAAAAACTGGAGGCATTCAAGGCAAATTTCTCCTTCGACGACGGGAATCTTGATGAATCCGTACCAAGCTTGCCCAAGGTGCGACTGGATGATTTAGCTATTCTGAGCCGAGGTGAAACGGAATTATTTCACTACAATCAGATACTTCTATATAATTGTATTACGTTTCTATTACATACGTATTTTCATACTTCGTGAACGAAGGGTCGTATATACTTTTTAAATACGAATTCAGAAAAACGATTGGTTTGAGAGGCAGAATGGAATTCGAAACGAAGGAAAATGATCCAACATTGTTCAAAAATGCACATAAATCCTATTGTCGATGAAACCATTGACAAACATCAAGCCGGCAGCTTGCTGAGAAGAGCTGGGAACGAGAAAGCTCTTGTTTATGGAACGTTTCTATTGCCTAAGTAAAGTTGCCCTTGTTAGTCGCTTAAAAATTAAATCATTTATTTTAAATCAATCGCCGTGTTTTACTAAAAAATTATTCCAACTTACACTGGCAGCTCTTCTGCCCAAGAAGAAAGCAAGCAGAAGCATAAATATACAAGTGCCTTGCTGGCGGTCCAGCCCGGAAACCAAGACGCTGGCTGGGCTACAGAGAGAAAACCATCCCTGGAGCGCTTCCACTTGCGCTTTCTACCCGCCTGGCGTGATCTGATGTAAAGCTCTCGTTGTTGTGCGGCTCTTCACTCTTTATGGTGATTAGCGATGCGTCGGAATGCATGAACGTCAGGTGGTATTCATTTACGGCTTCATCTGTTAGCATCGCGCGGTAATGCTTATTGTGTTACGCATGACCATGTACGTCGCGAGTGATGCATCTAAGCTCGACGAGGCATAGGAATTAATACTTATTGATTATAATTCAAATACTGAATGATGTCGTGATTACAGTAAGACAGTTGAACATGAAAAACGATTGTTATGGTCGAGTATCAGAAACGAGTTTGATTGTTGAGTATCAATAACAAAAAGTGTTTAAAGGGAGCAATAAGGGATAATGATTGCTGGTACTTCATGTAATGACACTTACCTTCAATGACGAGCCATCATTATAGTTGAACAATTTAGAGTTGCTGGAAAGTTTCAGATAAATGTTCTCAGAAGAAAATATTGACGATTAAATGTTCGCGACAATGGGAAAAATCGGTAATTTGAGGCTCAAAATATGAAACCTTGGTGCCGGTGAATGAAACGCAGGAGACCGGTACATTTAGATGTTGGATGATTGTTTGAGAATATTTAATGTAAGCAGAAAGAAGGCTTGGCTAACTAATCCTGCGTGCATCAGAGCTCAGAGTTTGAAGAAGGAGGGATCCAAGTTTTTATCGGGCGTTAGTTTTTTGCTCTGTTTTCTTCTGACGGTATGTTGGTTGGTAAAGAAAGTTTCTCCCGCAAATCACGAGGCAAATCTCGCGCAATTAAACTTATTGATCAGGCTTAGTTACCTCAGCTATAATATCTCTGCACTCGTGACCGTTAAGTACGGATGTCGATGGCGAATGTCTGACTATAATGTTATGTTATAATTGGCCATGAGCAGCCTCCCTGAATCTCAAACCGAGTTTGGAAATGGAGTGCACACCCTCACACAAGTGTTAACTGAAAGAGTGACATACTTTCATTTAGTGGATAAGTAGCTTTGCGATTAATCGGAGCAAGTTTAAACGTCACACATGTATTGCACAATCAATTCTGAAAAAATTCACCTGCTAAAATTTTCAGGGAGAGAGAGTAGTTGTGTCAATATCACCATCTCAATTACAGAGAACAGACTATGGCTGTATTGTAAATTGCGGTCGATTGAATTTCGCGCATCATCATTAAACAAAAACTTAGGACAACGAATGAAATTATTTGAATAAATCTCGTCACTACAGATGATGTAGACTTTTTTCGCTTATCAATAAATGCATTGAATGTAGTGAAATCGATAAGTTCTACGCGTTTAAATAAATTTGCATTCTCATACATGGTTTGTATAACTTGCATTTGTAAATGCAAATTCTTATGACAGCGTTTTTACTTTGTACCTTTGTTCTCTTATTCTTCAACGATGGAGAAAATGGAAGAAAACCTGTGCCTTAGA